AGCCCTAATGATGCAATCTAACACAATATAATGAAGTCCGTAATGGGATCTGCCTGAGCAGGCAATTAGTCGTAAGATCACTAGGGTGGAATGCAAGCCCCTAACTCAGGTCACAGGCCTGATGCAATAGAAAGGCAGTTTCCTCACGGTTGAGGGCTACCTTCTATATAAGTGGATGCTGTGAAAACACTTGCGTGCTTATTTTTTTTCTCGTTCTGCATCTGGCTCTTCAATCTCTTGCTCTTTGGCCTTGAACCAACAGCCTGCCATACTGCCTGCTGATGCCAGGAGCCAACCTCATCCTGCCGTCTGGCCTGCGGACCCTTGGATCCATTCGTGTCTCCATTCACAAGTATCTGGCCTGCTGACCTTGGATGGCTCTGCTTCCTCAGCCACCTGCCTACGGGGACTCCGTTAGGACTTGCCTGCTTTTGGAACTGTGTGAGACATTTTCACATTTTATTTAGAGAAATCAATTATGTAAGCAACACTGGTTTTTGTTCTCTAGAGAACTCCACCTAACGCAGAAATGCTATCCATCATTTGTCATCATCTACACAGTCCAATGCTGTTGCACAGCTAAGAAAATACGGGTAAGCAACTTTTTGTCATTTGCTGCTTTCAACCAAGATTCACCTGACACAAGCAATGATTCTCTCCAGTCTGCGTCCTCTTCTAAATCCAGCTTAAATTTCTGGAAGCTTCCTGTTGATGTACTGCTGTACCTCTTTTCTGAATCTTCAGTAAGATTTTAATTGTGAGTGATATTAATGAAAATGTTCAATATTTCCTCTTTCTAATGAATTGTATTTCTTTGGAATGGGCAGGATAGATGGTTAGGTAGCTGTTTTCCAAAATTTTTTGGAATAGTTGGATAAATATTTTCAGCATGGCATCTCTTTATTGGAACATCTCAATTGTTAGTCTGTTAATTTGTGGAGCCTTGTTTTCTTTCCCCAGTGCCTTCAGTGCAGCGTGGACTTCCTCCACACCATGGTTCTTGATCACATCTCTAACAAAGCACGTTCAGCATCATCACAGCATGAAACTTCCATGGACAGATGGGTAAGGGCTGCCCTTGTGCTGCCCTGACCAGAAAGTGAACCCTTGGTCTCTTGAATGGAAGGTGGAAGAACACTACCATGGAACTGTCAATACCTAATACCTTCTAAAAGACAACATAAACCCATTTAAGGATTTCTGACATGCTT